GCGTTAATTTCGCACTCTGAAACACGGGCCCCGTCGTCAGAAACAAAATTCTAAACGTCTAAATTTATATGTTTTACGGCCGGTAGATAAGTAATGTTCCGAGAATTGCTTGCCTAGCCCTAACCCTCCAGCATGCCTAGCAGGGTAGAAACACGTTGTCAGAAACAAAATTATCTTATTGTTATAATTGTCATAAACATTAGTCTTACCATTAAAATGGATAAACCTTGCAATAAACAAAAAGCCTACATACACCTACTGTGAGCATACTTGCAGTAAGCAAACATCAAGAAATGTTCTCATTAATTCAGAAATGTGCTCCGAACTAGAAGAGTTCGAAACAATGTTCGACAGTAGTATTAGGCGCATAGATACACAAAAATTATGTAGAGTGAAGTGGGTACGCTAGCGCAAATAGTTCCTGGAAAGAAAACACCGTATTTGTTTCCTGACTGCATAAGTAATGTGGATAACATGTGATTTAAATAAATTTCACAATTCTGTACTGAACATACATATAAAAATGAATTATAACTTGTTTTATTATAGAAAATAACTGTTAACGATCGCTCGGCTGTGACCCCGATGTGTAAACATCAGTGGCGCTACTTTCGTAAGACAAGTACTCTCGTTTAGATTTTGTGAAGAAATGTTATGAAAGTAGCAATACAGATGAGGTGTAGTGAACTTTTTCAACATAGACGAGCTTACAGTAGGTATATCTATGCATTTTGCTGCGAGAAAATTCCGTTTTAACATCCACTCGTAAACCGTTGACAGAAACATCATAAAGTTACAACAACGAAAAAATCCTCGGATATTTCCCCTCAACTTTACGAGAGCCCAGACCCTCGCATAAATTTCAGATTACGATGAAAATAATGCCTTTAAACATTTATATTAATGACTAAAATGTGTGTTTTACTTATCTACCGGTCGTGAACCAAAACAAACATTTTACAAATGGTGTCTGTTCTCGTTTTGAATGTTTTGATCAGTCATGACGCTCACGGTCATGTCTTGGATTGCAGAAGTATGAGAATAAATTCATGACTGTGTCGTTTTTTAATCAAATATTATTTATAGGTGGTTAACCATCATAATATGCACAAATTACTGCGATGTACAATAAATGTGTATGACTTTGAATTTTGTGATTGAATCTCATCCAATAAGCAACCTTGTGACATCAAATTATGAAGTTCCCGTTATCGTGAGTTTTCTCATAGCTGTGATGCGTTTCTGTCAACGCTATTCCCGTAACATTAACATTAGTCGTAAGTGCGCCATCTTAGCATTAACATTAGCATTAACTTTACGATATTTCTGACAACGGCCCACTGGTGGCTACTCACCACTGTCCTTGAGTGTCAGAATGACGGTGCTGCCCTCTGCTATGTCCTTCTGCGCATGCTCCACGTTGATACCCTTCAGGTCACGCGACGTGTACGCCTGCGGTACGACAAGTGAACGCCTGTTACACGCATGCTGCAAACTTCTACGACAAAAGCAACATCATAATCTGTGGTAAACATTGACACAAGAGACATTGAGCCCAATTCCCAGCAATCTCTAGATTTGTAGCCTATATTCCCCACACTTGGAAAATGACATTTCGAAATTCCAGGATATTCCGGGTATTGTGGCAGCCGTACGGCGGCGCCACCTACCTTGTCTCGCAGCTTCTCCTTGTCTCCACGAAACTCTGTCTCCACGAGCTCCGACACGCCAAATTCCTCGTCCATCTCCTCCAGTAACCGCGCCTGCAGCAGCAAACACACATCCAAGAGAGAGAGAGAGAGAGAGAGAGAGAGAGAAACAGAGTGAGAACGAGAAAGCGAGTCTTAACACACTTAACAATAGAACAACTCAAACAACTTGCTTTTTAAAAAACGTCGGGATTTCGGGCAGTCTTTCCTCACTAGGCTCCCATCCCAATACCGCCCCCCCCCCACCTGACGCTGCCGCTACCCACCACACCGGCGCCCCCTAGTGTCGACTCACCGCTTGCAGCCGTCGTCGGATCGCGTCGGCCTCCGTCTCGCCCGCCACGTTGTCGGCGCCACCTAGTGAGCCGAGCGTGAACCTGCTGCGCGTCTTCCCATCGATCTCCTCGTCGTACTTGGCGAGGACGCGGCACGGCGCGGCGAGGGCGCCACCGTCGGGGGCGGCATCGTCGTCGTAGGCGCGGTAGGCGGGCTTGCGTTTGCGCAGCTCGATGTTTTCACGCGTTCGCTCAGCCTCTGCCAGGTTTATGTTCACCAGCGTGTCGCCCTCTTCCGCCAGCACGCCTACAGCGATAGAAATTAGAGGATTACTTGACTCTAGGTTCTACGGTTATTTCCAGTTGATTTAGGCTAAAATTACATTACATTAAAAATTTCATGGTTCAACCACCATTAGAATTTTTTTTTTTTTATGTTTTAAAACTAACGACTAGTTTGATTACAACGACGGTGGCGCCACTCAAAGCGCACTATCTGAAAAGTTGCGCAAAAGGACTTTTCAGCCAAGGGCTACAGACCGAGGGTGTTTCTTATTTATTAATTTAAAAGCAGAAGGCTTGCAATATCTTATAAACGACATATAGTTTCAGTTATAAAATGGATAAATTTGTCCTAAAATGAATATCGTTCGGGTAAATAACAATTAGGTATAAATTAATTGCACTTTTATGATTAGACCTCGGTCTGTAACGTGCAAAATAAATTGTCAAATGCGCAACTTTCTCAGGGTGGCAGCATGGTCGCGGGTGTCATGTCAGCGCCCAAAAATAAAGATTTCGAAATTCAATATTGTTTTATGACAAACGTGAATGCGTAATTATAGATATTTATAGGTATGTGCTATTATTTATAAATCTACTATCATAATATACTCTCAAATTCTAGAGAAAAGTATTCCTTTAACTTATGAACAATGGAGTCTAATGGACTCCCTGCCCTCAAAAGGAGGGAGTCCACAGCAAAATATTAACAATAACGCATGTCCTTATTTTGAAGATTAATGCGGTTGCACGTCTGCCAAATTTTCTTTGGACATTTGCTGAAAATACGGTCATTCCGCGTGGCTGTGCTCTGGAACGAACTAGTTAGTACGGCAGAAGTTTGAGGAAGTCACACGGACTCCTGCGTATGTCAAATCAGGGAGTCCGACAGTAAATCGGGGAGTATTTAACTCCGGACTCGCGTTAATTTCGCACTCTGAAACACGGGCCCCGTCGTCAGAAACAAAATTCTAAACGTCTAAATTTATATGTTTTACGGCCGGTAGATAAGTAATGTTCCGAGAATTGCTTGCCTAGCCCTAACCCTCCAGCATGCCTAGCAGGGTAGAAACACGTTGTCAGAAACAAAATTATCTTATTGTTATAATTGTCATAAACATTAGTCTTACCATTAAAATGGATAAACCTTGCAATAAACAAAAAGCCTACATACACCTACTGTGAGCATACTTGCAGTAAGCAAACATCAAGAAATGTTCTCATTAATTCAGAAATGTGCTCCGAACTAGAAGAGTTCGAAACAATGTTCGACAGTGGTATTAGGCGCATAGATACACAAAAATTATGTAGAGTGAAGTGGGTACGCTAGCGCAAATAGTTCCTGGAAAGAAAACACCGTATTTGTTTCCTGACTGCATAAGTAATGTGGATAACATGTGATTTAAATAAATTTCACATAATGTAAATATATATATATATAATTTTTTTTACATGTGTGTCCGTCTATTTCTGCAGCAAAGTGAAGAAACTCGGTGAATCGGACGAGGAGGAAGACAGTGCTGCCGCCTGGGTGGAGAAATCGCGCAAGAATCAGATACAGAAGGACATGGCAGCGAAGAGGGTAGGCTATCACTCGCTCACATCCGCCCCCCCCCTCCACGCACGGTTAGACTGGTCCCCTGTCCTTAACTCGTTGCGACCAGCGGGCATTAGGACATTAAACGTCAAGACACACTTCAGCGACAGCGACCGACCGTAACGACAAACGACAAAAGTCGCGGCGACTGGCGCAAACACACTCCAGCGACAGCGACCGACGTTAGGTCAAAGGTCACCAGCACTCGCCACAGTGGCACACATCATCACATAAACAAACGGCAAAAACTCCTGCTGCCTGCTTTAAATAACAGGCTGCAAAAACTCTCTAGGTATAAGGATAAGATAATAAAGTAAAATATACGCAGTAAATTATCATGTACGTACTGTGTCATACAGTGACCGTAGCTTACCACAGCTGCAGCGTCTTTGGTTACTGACTGGTTCGCGGCCCATTGTTTGTGACATGCGCGCGCAAATTTAGCGCCGGAGACCAGTTTACGTCTTGGCTAGCATTATTGGTTATTTATGACGTAATCGTAATGTCACGTGCCGATGGAAACGGCTGTGATTGGCTATTTGTAAAGTGTCGCGGGGACAGTCGCTGGAAATTAAAAACGTTCCTAAATATTTTTGCCGTCGAGGTTGTCGCCGGTCGTTGTCGTGTGTGTGTGCAATGGCTCATAGGAAACAATAGTTTCTAATTTTCTGAAATGTCGTTTGTCATTACGGTCGGTCGCTGTCGCTGCAGTGCGTCTTGGCCTTAAGACCACAACTAAAATAATCTTTGTTTGCCCTCACCCGACCCAGGCTGAAAAGTTTGGGTAGGTAGGTAGGCTTCTTTTTTTTACTAATTCAGTATGGTGTCTACATGCTCGGGTGTGCTTGTGTGGAGATACATTTTATGTTGAACGTTTGTTTGCTTGGTACATATAATGTATTGCCTACAGATTTATATAATGTACAGTAATACAATTTGTAAAAAAAAGAATGGGAAAGATCAATAAAATTGTTTGAGTCGGCCCTTTTGGCGCGGTCGGTCGGGTGAGGGCAAACAAACAATATTTTTATTTTGGCCTAATAGACTGGCTTCCTCTCCTGCCCCCCCCCCCTGTGCGCGCATCTGTGTACAGATCGTAGCACAGGATTAACAGGCATATTAGCAGTGAAGATGTTAAGATGATGTCTAGATAGTGTTAGATGATATCTCCTTAGATGACGCTCCTGTTAGATGATGTCAGATATACTGAGATAATTCTATCATTCAAATGCAGAAATGCACTAAAAATAACTACATTAGCATTAGAAGCCCTTGTTATACATTTCATACGTGAATTTATACGAGATTGAAACTTTTGAGTAGCAAGAATTGTTCATCATGCGTGGTGTGTCTATAACAACATTGGATGTTGTTGTTTGGCTGCTGCAGGCGCGGTTACTGGAGGAGATGGACGAGGAATTTGGCGTGTCGGAGCTCGTGGAGACAGAGTTTCGTGGAGACAAGGAGAAGCTGCGAGACAAGGTAGGTGGCGCCGCCGTCACGGCTGCCACAATTACCCGGAATGTCCTGGAATTTCGAAATGTCTTTCCAAGTGTGGGGAATATAGGCTACAATCTAGAGATTACTAGGAATTGGGCTGAATGTCTCTTGTGTCAATGTTTACCACAGATTATGATGTTGCTTTTGTCGTAGAAGTTTGCAGCGCGCGTGTAACAGGCGTTCACTTGTCGTACCGCAGGCGTACACGTCGCGTGACATGAAGGGTATCAACGTGGAGCATGCGCAGAAGGACATAGCAACGGGGAGCAGCACCGTCATTCTGACACTCAAGGACAGTGCTGAGTAGCCACCAGGGGGCCGTTGTCAGAAACATCGTAAAGTTAATGCTAATGTTTAATGCTAAGATGGCGCACTTACGACTAATGTTAATGTTACGGAATAGCGTTGACAGAAACGCATCACAGCAATGAGAAACTTACGATAACAGGAACTTCATAATTTTGATGTCACAAGGTTGCTTATTTGGATGAGATTCAATCAAAAATTCAAAGTCATACACATTTATTGTACAGTCGCAGTAATTGTTGTGCATATTATGATGGTTGACCACCTATAAATAATATTTGATTAAAAAACGACACAGTCATGAATTTATTCTCATACTTCTGCAATCCAAGACATGACCGTGAGCGTCATGACTGGATCAAAACATTCAAAACGAGAACAGACACCATTTGTAAAATGTTTGTTTTTGGTCCACGACCGGTAGATAAGTAAAACACACATTTTAGTCATTAATATAAATGTTGAAAGGCATTATTTTTATCGTAATCTGAAAGTTACGAGAGGGCCTGGGCTCTCGTAAAGTTGAGGGGAAATATCCGAGGATTTTTGTTCGTTGTTGTAACTTTATGATGTTTCTGTCAACGATTACGAGTGGATGTTAAAACGGAATGTTCTCGCAGCAAAATGCATAGATATACCTACTGTAAGCTCGTCTATGTTGAAAAAGTTCACTACACCTCATCTGTATTGCTACTTTCATAACATTTCTTCACAAAATCTAAACGAGAGTACTTGTCTTACGAAAGTAGCGCCACTGATGTTTACACATCGGGGACACAGCAGAGCGATCGATAACAGTTCTTTTCTATAATAAAACAAGTTATAATTCATTATTATATGTGTGTTCAGTACAGAATTGTGAAATTTGTTTAAATCACATGTTATCCACATTACTTATATGCAATCAGGAAACAAATACGGTGTTTTCTTTCCAGGAACTATTTGCGCTAGCGTACCACCTTCGCTCTACATAATTTTTGTGTATCTATGCGCCTAATACCACTGTCGAACAATGTTTCAAAATCCTCTAGTTCAGAGCACATTTCTGAATCAATAAGAAGATTTCTTGATGTTTGCTTACTGCAAGTATGCTCACAGTAGGTGTATGTCGGCTTTTTAGCTCATCTGACATAGTCAGATGCAGCTTGTAGAAATCGCATGATCGTCCGTCCGAGCGTCCGAGCGTCCGTTCAACAGTTGGGCACAAATCTTAACCGCTCGACGTACGGTCACGATATTCGGGAGCGTGGGGGGTAATCCGAAACGAGTTGGGATGTCGAAGCTGGGGGGTCAAAGGTCAAAGGTGTAAAAGAAGGGGAACATTCACTCCTTAACTTAAGGTAGGAGGAAATGCAGAAGTTGCGCGCACAAATCTAAACGGCTCGACCTAGGCTCCGTGATAGTCGGTGATATAGCATCATGGTAGGAAAAGCATCACTTGCGGCGAAATTGGAGGTCACAGGTCAAAGGTCAATGGCACAGGGAGATTTTAGACATTTTCTGAGGACATGGTCTGACGGAGCGATTGAAAAACTTTTTGTTTCAGCGGTGACCTAGCATTTTATACTGGCATTATGAAAGGACCATGAATATCTACTTTCTGCTGACATGTCGAAGAGTAAGTGTCAGATAACTTTTGACCCTCAAGAGGAGGGTAAGACATGGATTTGTTGACTGTTTGTTAGAAGAATTTGACTGCGGCGGGTTTGCTAGTAGAATCTATACATGCCTGGATGTATGAGGCTACAATGTCACAGTGAAATTTCAAAAGCTGAATTTGCGTTAAAGAAGCGTTTATGCTCCTTAAATCGCTATAATTTATATGGGCATTCTGTACTGTCAGTATGTTACATGTAACGTATGCCACTGGCCAGTGGCTACTGCCAGTGCATGTGTGGTGGTACTGTGGAGTTTTCGCCTTTAATTGGTTACAGGTGCAGCTCTCTATTGCGCAGCCTGTAGGCTTGCGTAGGTAAATGGTATGAGTGCTTACCTATTCTGTCTTGCAGATAGTTGTTCGCTACTACGTAATGATGGAGCTTCCATCTTTAATCTGAAGACACTTAAACGTACGCGCCATCTCGTGGCAATTTTCATAACGATCCCAACGAACATTCTTTTGAGAAGGTTCCGTGATACCACCTCCGCTGTGCATTCCACTGTTTCGGCGTGTATGTGAACACATTTGCACTAACAGGGTTTACTAGAATCCCAGCCACTCCACCACAGAGTCCAGCCGCAGTAGACGTTAGATTAGCGCTGTCGCTCTGCGGCACTTGTTGTTTGTTGCAAGGTTTATCCATTAATGGTAAGACTAATGTTTATGACATTATAACAATAAGATAATTTTGTTTCTGACGACGTGTTTCTACCCTGCTAGCGATTGCTGGAGGGGTTAGGGCTAGCAAGCAATTCTCGGACATTACTTATCTACCGGTCGTAAAACATATAAATTTAGACGTTAGAATTTTGTTTCTGACAACGGGGCCGTGTTTCAGAGTGCGAAATTAACGCTAGTCCGGAGTTAAATACTCCCGATTTACTGGTGGACTCCCTGATTTGACATACGCAGGAGTCCGTGTGACTCCCTGAAAGTTCTGCCGTACTAACTAGTTCGTTCCAGACCGCACAGGCTGCGGAATGGCCGTATTTTTTCCAGCAATGTCCAAAAAATTTGGCAGAGTGCAACCGCATTAATCTTCAAAATTAGGACATGCGTTA